GTGGGGAAGATGGGAAGAAAGACCACAGAAGTTGGCATTTAGTCTTAGGTAAACAGCTCTGTTACGTATCTTTGATGACACTATAAAAACTTTCTGCCAGTAAAGCATATTTCTTGGGCTCATAGCTGATGCCTGGACCATGTACAGTACAGGATCCTTCCTGGCTCCTTATGCAAAGGCTGTAGTAATAGGTAAGTTCATAGATGAGGAGGTCAAATTCAAAAACTGAATCTTTAAAAAGGGCCCAAGTTTCCTCTCTACAGGCACTCTCCTTTCTATAGCCAACATTACACAAAAAGATTGTGTGCAGGTTTGCTATGGATAATCACATGAATTCATTTACAGGATAAAGCTCTGGATCGTATGTAGCCTATTCTGCTGAATCTGAGAAACTACTGCTAGGTTTCCAATCCTGTCCTGATCCAAGGACAGTTCTTCTTTCTTGAAACACAAGTTGAGGGGGGAAAAAGATTAGTTGCCAGCAGCAATTACTTAGCAGCAACCTCAGAAATGTTCTTTGCTATCTGCCATCATCCCCAGCAGCTCCCTCTGCATGGAGAGCAGATGAGTCTCTGTGCATTGTTGATGAGCTGGGCCCTGTACTCTAAGCCCAGCCTTCCCACCATCCTCAGCCCAGTGGCTTGAGAGAAAAGTATACAAAGCAGGTTGACCTTAAAGAAAGATGTGACTCCTGACTACACTGGACATGACACCTGCTGGAGGCCCGGGCCCCTCTGCCACAGTTATGGCGAGTGATAACGTTAGCAGTCACTGAACGGGGAGAAATTCTTCATGGGGAGCAGCAGCTCCAACCAGCCATGGTGGGAGTCCCAGACTAGTTAAGCTGTTCAAGGGCTGGGGGCACCACACAGCATACTGGCTTCAGAATTATAATTCAGATGAGTAGCTCAGTCCTCTCCCTGTGACATCACCTTTAGAAAACATCTTATCCAAAAATCACAGTCCAGCTTCATTCTGGGACACAATGACCAAAGCAGAAGAACGCTTAGTAACTGAGGTGCCCAATCATCACGGGCAGCACTGCTCCCTCCTACTGCCTGGGAAGGAGTTGGAGCAATTGTCATGCCTGCTCTTCTCCCTCATTGGAAACATGCCGGTAGCCAGGGGGCTGAGACTGTATGCGAAAGAGTACAGTCAGCAGGAGGATGATAAGGAGAAAGAGAATGGATCCACACACAGCCAGAGCCACAAACAGTTCTGCAAGGGAGAAAACAAGTGGTCAGCATGGCGTCATCCAAGCTTTCTGCTTCTGCCACACGCCAGTCCAGCCCAGGCTCACCTGTGTCATGCACAGTGCTTGCTACCTGGCATTCTTGTTCCCAGTTCTGGGGAATGACAGGATCAGTGAGTTGCAAAAATCTCTGCAGGGGACATTTTTGCTGACAGCCAGGGAGTGTCAGTGGGAAAGGTTCCTTCCCACTCTCATTCCGGAAAAACATCTCCACAGAGAAGTTACTGAAAGTGAAACACAGCTAGATTGGCTTCTTGCTCCAGCTAAAATCATCTCTTTCCAGACACCCCTTAGTGTGTACACCTTTTCCCTTATTCTGAGGGTAATTTTCCCAGGAGCCTGCTGCTAGGAGCAAGACTGCTTCCCCTAGGATGGAGCTTAGCCTAGGTATCTAATCCTTGCAGCAGACATCTTTACTGCAGCCCTCACCCATCATCCTCTTGGTACAGCTCAAATATATGACATGAGGCGTATGGGGCTTGAATCTTGTTGTAGACATCCAGAGCCATCTGCAGTGCCACAAGTGTGGTGTCATGCTGAGAAAGAGAGAGAAAAAAAAAAAACCCCAAATCAATCACGCTTATGAATGGGGCAGGGCAGCTCAGACCACAGCAGGGACAGGACTGTGCTGAAGGGAAGTCACCTTTGTAACTTCCATCTGGAAGAAGGGAAAGGAGCAGTACTATTAGAAAGGTGATCTGTGATGGTGCCAGAGAATGGAAGGGAGTGAAACAAAGCTGTATATATCATGCATCATTCTTTAAGAACTGGCCTCTGGGGAGCAATCTGGGAGAGATGCTTGACTTTCCAGTCAGCAGGCTGCTGGAAAGGGGGGGTGACTCTCCTTATCTACACTGCTGAAACATCATATCTGAGTAGCATCAACCCATCTACCAAATATAGCAATGGCTCCCCGAAGTCTGCCAGTCTCAACCATGGGACTGAGCTAACAGGAATAAAATGGAATGATGCCAGATACTGGACAACCCACCCAGCCAGAGGCAAAGGTGCATCTCCTGATCACTGCAGGGCTGCAGAGAAGCTAGAGAAGGTTAAAACCATTAGCAAGGCTCAAACCACCCTATGAGGAGGAAGAAGAGGAGGTGGATTGAAGCTAGCACCCATGGTCTGACTTACTGCAGAATAGGCAAGTAGTTTCAGGTGCTGGTGGGCAGAGACATTTGCTGCTTTGGTTAGGTTTTTCCTAATGTGACCCAGCAAGACCCCTGAGGAAAGAGAACACCTGATTAAGATTCAAAAGCTAGATAGAGCAGCATGAAGCTCCCTCCCCGGTCCACTCACCGCCTTGCAAACGAGCTTTCTCTCTCCGATGGTGAATCCCAAACAGAAATTCAAAACTGAAGTCTTTTAATTGCTTCAATCGAGTCATGACATCTGGGGTCACCCATAACGGCAGCTTCATCTTGTGTGCTTGCTAGGAAGAGACAGAGAATACTCATCTGCAGGTAGCGTGGACCACAGATCAATCAGAGGCCTGGGAGTCAGGGCTTCTGAGTCTTGGCCAAACTGCTACTCATTTCCTCTAGCATTTCAAATATGTCACTTTTCTGTTTATGCTTCTGTCCTTATCCTGCCACGCTGCATACAAAGAATATATGTGGTTAACATCCTTACTTTTTAAAGTAAGCATGAGAAGCATAAAGATTAAAATCTGGGAGCTGCCATTTCTGTGAAAGTACAACTGGAATGCAGGGTTATTTTGCAACACCAATACAAAAAGCCAAGCCAAGCCCGGCACTTGCATGGCTGATTCTGCCCCACAGATGGCATGCAGTCAGAAATTAAAAAAAAAAAAAAAAAGGACTCAGTTTCTGGTGTACCTGGCACACAATTCCCTGGGAAGCTGTGAGAGTGGACACAGAGGCCACTGAAGGAGAGCAGAGAAAGTTAGCACTCTGCAGACATAATACTGCGAGGCACCACTGACAGTTCAGTAGTCAAACCCAGAACACACCAAGCAGGGAACCAAGGAAGGAATTTGCTTTGCAGCCAACGCATTACAAGAAAGGATTAGTTACACTGGCAAACAAACAGCAGTTTGCGGTTGCCTGGCATTGCTCAGATGGAGCAATTTTCTGTGCTACCTCCCATTAAACTGTCAGAAGATGAGGCCAAGTATCCTTAAGGGTCCATTCTGTCTGAGTTCCGCACAGATTCCCATCAGCAACCTAAGTATTTGGTTAGTTTTGCATTAATTTACAAAGAGAATAGCTGGGAAGTTCCTATATTTCTTGGACTTTTTTTTTTCTCTTCCCGCAGCTGGTAGAGTGAATCTACTAATTCAGGTGAGAGAAACATCCTTCATTTAGGGCACTGTTTGTAAGAATGAGAACAAAAGAGGAAGCCCAAAGTGAATGAAGAGATTAATATGTCTCAAGTATAGTTTTGAGAGCTTCACAACTTTCTGATCTTGTTTTCAGACAGCGAGCTGTTTTCTGAGTTCTCAGGGCTTCAGTGGTTGTCAATGAGAAAAGGCCTCAAGGCCCTATGTACAAAATCTTTAAGCGAGTCTTGAAAGGGAAAAAGATTTGAAAATCTTGATATTTCTGACCAAAGGAGATTTGGTCACTGACAAAAGCTGCTTCACTGTGATTGTTATAAGACAGGAGACTGGGTTTGTGATACAAAAGACAAATTTACACAGTGCAATGCAGCTCTGGACTGGAATTTTCTGAGCTTGTAGCAACTCAAGCTGCTGCTTAACATGGCAAAGTGCAATTCTATGTGGATTTATTTCTTCCTCTTTCCCCCCCCCACAAAAAAAAAAAAAAAAAGTATATAGCTGCATTAATGTACCACTACCAGGAAGCTAACTAGCCTGGTACCTCCACAGAACTAATTAGCATGGGCAGAGTTATCTGGGTTTACTGCTTCTTCCCGAATTAACTAGTTTGGTACTAAAGAGTTCTGCAATATGCTTCATCATGCTGTATAGTTATAGGCAAATAACTAACTATCTGCGGTGTTATCACAACAAGCTAACAAGATTTTGACTTTTATTTTTTAAGCCTTCATGAGATGTGCTTTCAACAAAATTCAACATGAATATAGAGGTTAGTTTCCCTCCCCTTCGAGACAGTAAAATGGTAACATCTGTCTCTAGAGTCTTTCTCTGTCAAAGGCCCTCCAACTATTTTACAGATGTTGGTAAACCACACTTAACCTTAGGAGAGCATTATTTGCTTTTACAGATAGCATTAGCAGAGGCACAGAAATAAAAACAATCAGTCCAAAGTAACAGAGGGGTAAAGGTAGAACCAGGAATAGTTCTAATTTAAGCTCCCAACTTCAATCATAAAGTTAAGGCTGCCTTACTTAACTCAGACTTGTACACAGAGATCTAAAGATTTCAGATTGCAGTCACTTTCCAGTTACTTTCGAAAGAGATGACTGTGCCTGTGACATTTTTTTCCAACTCTAGAATGATATCTAAGCTACAAAGTGGGAGGTTGTATGGTACAAAAATAGAAAGATAATTATTGACAAATACCTTTAGTGAGCAAGAACCATTATTACTCTGAAATTAGACCATTACTTCTAACTGCAGGGTGGCAATGACGAAAGGTTGTTTTATGGGCTTTGGCAAATTAATTTTCCACCAAATCTGGTGAGGCCAAGAGATCAGATTCCTGTAGCTGTAAGACGATGACTAAACTTACTTCACAAAACAGTGTGTCATACACGCTCCAAACAGACTCGAGGGAGACATCCCGGATCCCAGTTTCATTTGCCACCATCTGCAGGAATTGCTGTAGGTAAGAGCAGAGAAAGAAGCCTTCAATTTTCCAATCTCATGCTGTATTACATGCACACGATGGAGGTGGTCTTACTCTTTTCTCAGAGCTCCAATTACCTGGAGGTGATTACTTTAGCTACAATCCTCAGACCACCTTATCTCATGCGAATAATCACTTACCAAATTCTCTCTGGTCTTATTTGTGTACTCTGCTGAGTGCCGGGTTTCATTCTGTAGCTGTTCATACCGTGGACAGGGGGCCAATGGAAACTTCAGTAGCTGGGCAGAGACAACAAGAGCAGCTAGGTCACTGGGAACATGGAAGTGCAGAAACCGAAGACAACACCCGCAACTGTAATGAAACCCCAACTAGCTGGGTGCATCTATAAACAGCTTCAAGTACCTCCTTCTACGATACTTCAGACTGCGTATGGTCTGGTGAGGCGCTGCAGTTAATGGACTGAGTGAACATCGACCCTGAATTCTCGTCTTGTTCAGAGAACAGAAGCATCTTTGCAAGGCAGGTCCAAAGGGAAACCAAAGACAATCTGAACCAAGGCTGAAGGAAGGACTTTTGGGGAAGTCAGCAAAACACTCTGCTTGAGTAGCCACCCAGCCATCCTCGAGATTAACTTACCCTTTCCCCAGACTCGGGCACCGTATGCACAGGGATAGGCTGCCAGGAAATGTTAGGGCTGAACATCTCTTGTCTGTCTGGGGGATACAGGCCTGCCAGATTGGCCTCCGCACTCATCAGCGTCCGATCACAATCTGTGCTGCGGATGAAGATCTGCCAGGACAGGGACAGTGCACTGTTAGTAACACTACTGTAAGTGGTGATGCTCGGACACAGGACAATGTACTTGCTGAGGAACTCTGCTGAGTGCCCTGAAGCTGCTCGTGAAGTGGACAACAGTGTAACAGGAACTCCTCGAGGACTGAGCCTCCTGGTGTCACTTGGTGAAAAGTGTAAGGATGGACACCAAGGCAATTTGTGTGTAATACCTGGGCAGTCTGTCCTGGATAACTAGGACAGTGAGATGCACTGTGCAGAGATTATACATAAAGAAATGAGTCTGCATATGAGTAAGAGTCAGAGAAGAGCAAGAAAAAGATGCAGGTAATGATGGGCACAGATAGGAATTACACTGTCTTTACAGAGCAGGACCGGGGCAAACTCCTGGATGCAGTTCTCGGCTCTAGGGATGAGCTGTTGCACTCACTCAAGAACGTGCCCTTTCAAGCTGCAACTTTTCCATCTGAAAAATGAAGACAACAATGACCTAACTAACAGGAGAGGAAGAGGAATGGGGACTGAGATTGTGTTTGATTGCTGGGAGCTCTTGGGATTAATGGGCCAAGATGGTTTATCATTCCAGAGCTCAGAAAAATATATTTGAAGCAGAAAGGAGAGAAAGGAGAACATACAGAAGAGAGTAAAAGGGAATATTTAGAAGGGTCAAAATAGCAAAGCTCTGGCATGCTAGTATCTGTGTACTGAAAACACTTAGGGGAGAGCAGGGAGGAAACAGTAATAAAGAGGAACATGTATGAAATTGTGAAAAAATGCCCTAAAAGACAGCATATTGGATATGAAACAACAAGAACAAAAAACTAGAAGAATGAAATACAATGTCAAAATTGGGATTTTTTTTTTTTTTGGTGATGTTAACCAAGGAGAGAGAAACATACAGAAAAATATGTATGCTTATTCTGTATCTGAAAATTTAAATTAACAGCCAGCAAAGGGGAAAAAAAAAAAGACATTGTCTTTTCTCTGACAATTTCTGCCTGCTTTTACCTCTTAAACGTGGCTTAAAAGCAACAGAGCCTGTACTCATTACACAGGATTGCTTTCACCCTAGGTAAGCCCTAAAGAAATAGAAAGGAAATATTTTAAAAGATAAGGATCTAATTCTAGAAGTGTCATAACAAGCAATTAAGCCCTGAGCATATATGCTTTCTTCAGCACTTTTTTCCAGGGCTCCAGCTTGTCGCTGAGTCAGGTGACAGATGGTCATATGGTGTCATCCAGAGGCAATACTTCTTATAAGCGGGAGCTTGCTCAACTTGAGCAAGGATTCAGGCTTGGTTAGCAGAATGGTTTCTGTTTGCATGTGCCTTGGTTTGTTTTTCCTTCTCAAGTGGGGGAAGAAAAACAGTTTCAGATGGCAAAGCTTTATAAGAACGAAGAATGTTTGGAGAGAAACTAGTCAGGAAGGTTAAAGGATCTGTGTTTGAGCCGACGCTGGAAGTTTTGTTGATGAAACACGTCAAAGAGGGGATGTGAACTGAACCATGTCAAGCTGTGTATTTACAGGGGAGCCTAAAAAAAGGGAGGGAAACAAAGAAAATCTTATGAGGATTCTCAGCTTGCCTCGTTTGGTCAGTCACACAACGTAAGCACAGATAAAATAAGTGAACAGACGAAGAGCCAGCAGTGGGACTAGGGGCCAGCCTTCCATTCAATCTACATGATGGCATGCCTCTCATCGTGACATTTGCTCATGTTCCAGTTGACTCACACCTATCTGATCAACCACCATGGGTATTTCGAGAGCTTTTTTATTTCCTTAACTTTTTTTGATCTTTCCGATTTCACCCTGTGCATAGTACATGGTCCCCAAAGGGCTCCGTATTTTTTTATAAAGGCAAACTACATGTGACTGTCGGTTTCTCAAGAACTAGCGCAAAGTGTGGCAACATCACAGAGACAAACAGGAAAATTAATAGCTTTGGGGGACTGAGGCCTTCGATACTTTACAGGTGGGAAAAAAAAATGACAGAATCACTTGTAGCAGTGTTTATGTGTACAGACTCCCAGGAGATTGCACCCGAAGTATACTGGAGAAGGTAAGGCATGTAAGGCTGCATTCTTGTTTTTAATCAAGATCAGCTGTTATGACAAAACAATCTCACAACCTCAGGTAAGAAACCAAGTTCCAGATATAACGCAGCAATTGTGTTTTGCTTTATAAGTTGACTTCAGAGCAGTTGGCTTCAGCTGGCTTGTAATGGCGCTGCTGCCATGCAAACTTTGGCTGAATTGTCTTAACATCTACAAAAAGGACAGCGGTCAGATCCTGCACAGCCTTCCCCCCCACCCCAAGTCTTACTAGCCTTTAAAGCCACTTGCAGCCAGGTCAAGAACAAACGCCCGCTCTTAGCTCTCTCTTCTCCAGCTCAGCGAGCAGTAGCGGAGCCAGACTAGAAAACATGAGTATTTTCAGACGGTCGGCACCGATATCCCCCCCCCCACCCCCCAACGAGAAACCACATCCGGAG